CCCAAGTAGCTGGAACCACAGGCGCCTGCCACAACGCCTGGCTATTTTTTTGGTTGCAGCCATCATTGTTGTTTGGCAGGCCCAGGCTGGATTTGAACCCGCCACCTTAGGTGTATGTGGCTGGCACCTTAGCCACTTGAGCCAGCCTTTTGTTTTGTTTTTGAATTGCTTAGTTGAGACTTTTTTTTTTTTCAGAGCTGAGATCTTGCTCTGTCACTCTGGCTAAAGTGCAGTGGCACAGTTGTAACACACTGTAACTTCAAACTCATGTGCTAAAGATATCCTTCTGCCTCATCCTCCCCAGTAGCAGGGTGCCACTGTACCTGGCTAATTTTTATAGAGATGGGGTCGCCTTATGTTGTGCAGGCTTGTCCCAAACTCCTGGCCTCAAGTAATCTTCCTACTTCAGCCTCTCAGAGTGCTGGGATTACAAGTAGGAGCTACTAGGGTAGGCCAGATAGTTTAAACCAGGGATTCTCAACCTGTGGGTCGTGATCCCTTTGGACTGTATTGAAGGTTAGCGGCATTAGGAAGGTTGAGAACCACTGGTTTAAACTCTATTATTATTATAATATTAGTAAAACCACATTGTATATTGAAAAAATCAGGTGAGGGCAGCGCCTGTGGCTTAGTGAGTAGAGCGCCCGGCCCCATATACCAAGGGTGACAGGTTCAAACTCAGCCCCGGCCAAACTGCAAACAAAAAGCTGGGCGTTGCGGCGGGTGCTTATAGTCCCAGCTACTTCAGAGCCTGAGGCAAGAGAATTGCCTAAGCCCAAGAGCTGGAGGTTGCTGTGAGCTGTGTGATGCCGCCACGGCACTCTACCAAGGGTGACAAAGTGAGACTATGTCTCTTAAAAAAAAAAAATCAAATGAGTGTAGGAACCAGAACACCGGGCTAGCAGGGACAAGCAGTGGTCTTTGAAACATACTAACGGTCTTTGAAACATACTAATGGTCTTTGAAACATATTAACAAACAGACCAGAGTTGTTTGTTAAAGACGTTAAAGACGTTGGGAGTTAGAAATTGAACAGGGGCCCAGTCTTTAAAGAGCAGACGTTGGGAGTTAGAAATTGAACAGCTGTGGAATTCCAGTGTGGGGGTTAGACTGGGGAGGAGGGAGCACAGGCCACTATCAATACATAGTAGCTGCAGAGGTTGCTTTGGGCCTTTTCCCTGACATGTAGTGGACGCCCCCCTCCTGCAAGCTTTGTGCTTACAATCCATGGTCCGGCCTGCTTCCTTGGTGATGGCATCGGCAGGTGAGCATCTGTATGTGAGTCTATTCTAATTTTTCTATTCTGTTCCATTGATCTGTCTCTTCCTCTGCAATAGCACATAGTCTTCAAATCAGGTAGACTGATTCTTCCACATAGTCTTCAAATCAGGTAGACTGATTCTTCCCATCTTATTACTTTTCAGAATTATTTTAGCTATTCTAATTCCTTTGTCTTACATAAATTTTACAATGATCTCATCTATATCTACAAAAAAAAGTCTTGTGCAGCTCGGTGCCTGTAGCACAGTGGTTGCGGTGCCAGCAACATACACTGAGGATGGTGGGGTTGAACCCAGCCTGGACAGCAATGACAACTGCAGCAAAAAATGGCCAAGTGTTGTGGCAGGCACCTATAGTTCCAGCTACTTGGGAGTCTGAGGCAAGAGAATCACTTAAGCCCAAAAGTTTGAGGTTCCTGTGAGCTGTGACACCACGGCATTCTACCGAGGGCAACATAGTGAGACTCTTATCTCAACAACAACAAAAGTATTGTGAGATTTTCGTAGGAATTGCATTAGACCTATAGATCAATTTGGAGAGAATTGACATCTTTACTATATTAGGTCTTCCCAAACATGAATGTGGTATGTGGTATGACATAAATGGTATGTCCATTTATTTAGATCTTTGACTTTTTTTCATCAGCCATTTGTGTTTTTTGTGAAGTTTTTATGTACAAATTCAGTACATATTTTATTGTATTCTGGGATATTTTCTCAGCTTACCTCAGTAGGTGACAATCTATCCCTGGTCTGCTTGATACTGGCAGGTACATCTATGCAAATGCTCATGCACACATGCCTTTCTCTCATACATCCAAAGGTAATCCCAACCAGTAGGATGTTACTGCACTGTGTGTGATGGACATCATTCGTCTGTTGTTTCCTAAATGTTGGTTATTTCACTTTCCTATCAATGACTTCTGTTGTCCTAGCAAATGGCATTGTCCACTGCAGTGCTGAGAAGGTATACCCAAGGACCTGGCAGCAACACCACTAAGGTAGACTTGTTTTGTGCTCTTCTGGGTAGGCCCTGAACGGAAGTGATGCCTCCAGGCAGGTGGTGCGCTGTTCATCCAGCTCAGGCCCAGTCTTCAAGGGAACAAGGGCGCCTCCAAATGATAAAGAAGGAAGAGGATGAAGGCTACACTTCAGTGCCAGCTGCCAGGCCTCAGACTCTCAATCGTCCTGGCCAAGAGCTGTTCCGCCAACTCTTTAGGCAGCTTCGCTACCATGAGTCTCCTGGGCCCCTAGAAACTCTAAGCCGGCTCCGGGAGCTCTGCCGCTGGTGGCTAAGGCCTGATGTTCTATCCAAGGCACAGATCCTGGAGCTGCTGGTGCTAGAGCAGTTCCTCAGCATTCTGCCTGGGGACCTCCGGACATGGGTGCAGCTCCATCATCCTGAAAGTGGCGAGAAGGCTGTGGCCTTGCTGGAGGAGCTGCAGAGGGACCTTGATGAGCCATCATGGATGGTGAGTATGATCAAGTGTGGGTGCCCAATGAACTCTGCAGCTCAGCCAGCTTGTCTAGGGGTGGAGGTGGCCCTGTGAACTGTCAGCCTCGCAGAATTAAGGAATGCCTTCCCTTCTCATTTCCTTGGTACCTGAGAAGCTGAGGATTGGACCCTGAGCCATGGACTCGTGAGTGGGTAGCCTTCCTGAAGGAGCATCAGCTCCAGCTAGGGTCCACAATGTCCATAAAAAACTATTCTTTGGACACAGTGGCTTATAGTATACAAACTCCATCTTTACATCTTATCTAATTTGACAGGAGACTGACCATTGCCTTATAAATGTTGGGCATTGGGGCAGCACCTAGAGTCAGGACTCTTGGCTTCTGAGCGGGAGAGTACATGTTAAAACCCAGAAAGGCAGTCTGCATGTCCTGTGTTGCTTCTTTCAGTAAGCTTTTGAAGATCTGTTCGGGGGATAAGGGTGGGGGAAAGGATGGGCATAGTACTGAGGGGCAGCCCTAGGCTGGAAAATTGGAAGACCTCAGTTTTAGATGTCATTTCAAACTTTCAGTGTCCATGGACACATTGTTTTAGCTTTGAGAGCTTCTATTCAATGAGAAGAAAATGCAGAAATGATCTAACTATAATGTTCAGTAAATATTTGAGTGCCTGTCATATGCCTGGCTCTAGCAGAGTGGACAGTCCCAGGCCTGGTAGTAGAGCCGTGGAAAGTCAGTTAAGTGCATTCTTTTTTTTTTTTTTTTTT